CTTAAGATTAGGTGTCCAGTCCTACCTGTAGTGTTAACTAACTACTTAGTACTGGGACGGTCACTTAAAATTTCTAGATATAAATTCCTTCCTATATGATGTAATACAATAGATGAAATATATTTTTCAATAATAAAACCATGTGATTCTACTTGGATTTAATATTTAATGCTTATAAAAATAATGTTATTTAGATGTTAGTAAAATTTTATGCAATATGTTAATATCAATATCATTTTAATATTATACATTGTATATTTTGAAGTATACTATAGAGTGCAGCTGCTCTACATTTTATTTAACAAATATAAGTCATTGTGCCTAGACTCTGGCAATGAGATTAAACCTAAATACACTAACTTGAGAAAGTATTAGCATGATCTTCTTTTTTCCGTATTAGAATAATACGCAGGTTTTTCTTTAAGCATCCATCCGATTGGAAAATATAATCAGAACTGCAGATGTAGGGCAAAAATGTCACCGCTCGTTTCTCCGGGGACCGTTTCAGAATACTAATTGGGAGCATTTTTCCTTATTAGCCTGGACTCAGCCCTGAGTATTTCTCAGTCTGGCACTGTTGACAGCTGCCAGCAGTCTTCAATCACAAGTGGACTATTATTTGAAATGTTTTCTCTTCCCCTGAAATAGAAGAGTATTTTTTTCTGACCATTATAGAAAATTTTGAATGTGGAAAAATATAAACAAAGCCACATTATTTCATCATTCAGACATTGTTATCGCTACATTTCATTTTCATATTTTTATATAGAAAAGTTCCAGCGAAAGGATATGCCTATCTGTTTTATTATGGCCTAGGATTATAAAATTACATTTGACTTGTGATTTTAAATTTACTTGTGAAATATTTCAATCACACACATAACCTGAAAAATATAACCTATGGTAGAAAAGTCACCCAGATTTAATGAGTGTCACTATTTGATACACATGCTTGAGATTGTTTTAGAGGGAGAAGAATGTGACAGATAATTCTAAACGTCAAACTTTGAACCACTTTCTTTCCCTACTATGTTGGTAATTATCATGACACATTTTGCAGGTCATTTTTCTTTACCTGGAGTTATTTTACAAAGTCTATTTATGGCCATAGTCTCATGGGGCATCATCCTCTAATTTTTTTGAAGCACTTCTGTAATTGGTATTATATAGTACCCTAATTTGAACTTTCTTTTTTTTATAAGTTTATATATGTTTTCCTAATTAATCTGATTTATACTTGCCTCTCAAGTGGAGAAACTTGAAAGCTTCATCATGTATAAAGGAATAAGAACTGTTAGCTTATAGAGTAATGTATTTTTCCTTCTGTGAGACCATCGTCTCAATCAGGATGAGAGGTGCGGTCATCAGCCCACAAGGTTTCCTCACGCCCCCGTCATCCTTCCTGTCCCTTCCTAATCTCCACTCTCTCTCAGCTACCAACCTGCTCTCTGTCACTGCGATGGGTTGACATTTTCTGGGGTGACTTATGAGTGGAACCATACATGAACTTTTTGTCCAGCTCCCCCACCACCCCAGCATCGTTACTTTGAGATGTTACTGCGTGCATCAATAGCTCATTTGGGTGTGCACCGGTCACGTGCCAGAGTTGCCAAACCCCTGTTCTGCGATGTCTTTATTTTCCACATCTTGCTGTTTGTGCCATTATCATTATAGATTTTATCCTACATATGTTATATATCTTGTAATACATTGTTATTAATGTATAAACAGTAAAATTACATTTAAAATATCCATACAACAAAATCACTTTTTATATTTACCTATATATTTTATATTTCCATCTCATTATATTACATTGTGTAGATTCATATACTCTTAATTCTGAAAACATTTTCTGAATATTTTCAGAGATCAGTTATACTGTTGGTTATTTTTTCTGCTCTGCTTTATATTGCCCCTGGTGTGAAGGTTGTATAATTACAGGTTAAAAGTTCTCTCTCAGAGCTCTCTATATATATCATTCCACCAGTCCTGCATTGTTTGTGATGAACATTTATTAGATTTTATTACTGCTTGTTTTTCTGGTGAGGTTTTATTATTTACTATTTGCATTTTATTTTAGTAATTTAAAAATAGCATGCCAATTTTTTTTTTTTGCTTTATTTTCCTCTTGTTTCATGTGTATTACGATTTCTTTTTTGGGAGGGTGTGCTATTGTTCTGCAAATCTGAGAAACCATGGACCATTCTTATTATTTTATCCCAATCTCTCTTTCTTCTTTTTGGAGATTCAAATTACATATTTGTTTTACCACTTCAGATTGTTCCAAAGTTACTAAAATTTATTATGAAAATTATTTTTGCTATTGCACTTTGTACTTTGGTTTGAGTAATTTCTATTACACAGTCTTCATAACCAATGTGTTTTCTTCTGTAGTGTTCAGGATTTTGGTAAAACCATCCAGTGAGTTTTGTTTTTAGATATTGTATTTTCAATTGTAGGGGTTCCTCTTGGTGCTTTTTGAGTTTGTATTTTTCTGTTATGTTTCACTATGTGGTCACTGAAATAGTCAGTTTAGGCAATAATCATCAATAACTGATAAAACTTTAAAACAAAAGGTGACTAGGAAACTCATAATAAATGAACCAATTGATGTAACATGAATCTACTAATGAATCTTGAAACAAGAACAACTTGAACACTAAAAACAAAACGTGAAAAAAATTAGATATTTTATGCCTCCAGACATAATGCAATAGGTAGTACAGAGCATCAGCAACAAGTATTTTTGACACATAGTTAAAATTGCATCGAATCAGGCCTCTACTTATTTTAAGAAAGTAAACAAACACATTAAATCACACTATGGGACAGAGTGAGCAAAATTCTTACTGTGGGAAACTGTACAGGATAAGTCACATTGTTTGTCCAACTCATAAATTAAAAGAAAAGTTAAATTTTAGAGTGATAAAATCTATGGACTAAATGAGACAGAAGGAATGTATTAATAAGCCACACTGGTGGACATAATTGAATCCTGAATCAAAGATACTTAATTTTAATTTGAACACTAGTTGAATATTTGATTGTATTCATTCAAAGATTTATTCATTTACAATATTAAAATTTTGATTTTTAAGTGGATAAATACACCCTTTTGCCTGAGTGCATATGTCTCTGTGTAATGAATGGTTAATATGCTATAATGTGTGAAATTTATATTAATATTAGAAAATGAATATATATGTAGATGAAATAAGATTGTGCTAGTCTTGATAATATTAAGTTGAGAGATGGTGTCTAAGTGTTTATTATACTATTTTCTATATTTCTAGATGTTTGAAACTATCTTAATATAAAGTTAACAAAAATGTTATTTGCCCAACATTACAAGTTTACTTAAATTACTGTTAGTGATAATTTCCTAACTTTATGCAAAATATCTTCCAAAAAAAGAAACTACATAGTCCAAATGTTTTCATTATTCACTAGCTATTAAATATACATATTTAAGAATCTCTAAATCACATACTTTATATGCATCTCAAATAGTCACGTAAGGATGAGATTTGTCTTCAAGTTTCACCTCAGCTGCATTTCCTCATGACCTTTGTGAAATAAACTGATATCAAAGAACACGTTTGCTGCAAGGAACCCCAGGGAGACCACAGCCTCTCCACCGTGTGTTCATTCTTAATTAGGTGCGTTTCAGCTCTTCCTAACAGAGCCAAAGACCTGCAACATCTCTCAGGGGTTGTCCAAAAATACATGGACGTCCAAAACAAGATCACACAGGACACCCCTACCAGAAATGGGAACTCTGTGGCTTTTTGTTGTCGCTGTTGATTGTGACATTAAAGTGCATTCTAGATCTGAAAAAATTATTCTTCTTCCTTCATGAATCCCAAACAAACAAATCCAATCTGGTTGTACAGATGTGCTCTGTAGATGTGGAAAATGCAAAGCTTTCCATTTACATAGAAGTCATTTCAGAGAGAGCTGGTATGATCAGTCCCAGGTAAATGGAGAGTTTCAAATGGAAAATTTCACAGTTTGAGTTTTTTGTTTTAATAGCATATAATAGAAGATACCTTTCATCTTTTGTCTTACATATTAAAAGTATTCAGCCATGTTTACCCAGACACTATAATTCTGTATTTACTTTCTGAAAATGGAGTCATGTCTTTCTTAAGAGAAAAACAATTTCGTTTCCTATCTTTCATAGAATAAAAGGGTAACTGTCAGGCACCGACTTTCTATCCACAGTGTTTTAGAACATCAGGATCCATGATTATTAAATCCCCTGGGGTTTTAGGTGAATCGTCCTTTTGTTTATTGGATACTACATAAATGATAGTTTGGAAAATTGTATGAAAAAACATATTTCCAGCCCTGGCTGGCGTAGCTCAGTGGATTGAGTGCGGGCTGTGAACCAAAGTGTCGCAGGTTCGATTCCCAGCCAGGGCACATGCCTGGGTTGCAGGCCACGACCCCCAGCAACCGCCCATTGATGTTTCTCTCTCTCTCTCTATCTCCCTCCCTTCCCTCTCTAAAAATAAATAAATAAAATCTTTAAAATAAAAAAAAGAAAAAACATATTTCCATTGAAATACAGGAGACATACTATATTTCCCTCTGCTGAGCTGACTGCTGCTGTAGTGGGATTGTTTGTTTGTTTGTTTTTATTAAACTAAGATAAAATGGAAGAATTAAACAGGTTTGTTTTCTTTTTTTAAGTCTACCTGCCTGTCTGTTGTCAACCAAGGAGCCTGCCGGAGCAACTTTCCAACCTTCAGGCAGATTTGCCTACAGCTTAGACTGAACAGTGCCTGAGCAGAAATTTGTAATTATTCCACTCATGTTATTGCTGAGCTACAAGATATAATTAACTAGCCTAATTGAATCGTACATTAAATGTGTACTTTTGTTCCATTTTTACGAATGCAAAGGTTGTATTGTATCCTTTCTTTAGCAATTACGTGAGGGAAAAAAAAGGTATTTTTAAAATGTCAAATTTTGTTTTGTTTCTTGTTCTTTAGGACATGAAAGTTACCTAAGAGTTTACAAAGATTATAAAGAATCCTCACATTTTCGTCGGCAACATATTGTTCCTTCCGGAGGGTATCAGCTGGAGCCAAAGGGGCAGAATGAACTGTTCCTTTTTGCTGCCTTTCCTGCTGGGGATCCCTCTCCTCTGGCCTTACCTTATGGCCACCGGAAACTCTAAACTCGAGGAAGCTGAGCACCCGGGGGGGTCTCATTGGAGACTGAAGCGTGACTGGGTATGGAACCAGTTTTTTGTGCAAGAGGAGATGAACAGTACTAATCATTCCATTGGCCAGGTACTGGTTTTCTGAGAACGGTACGGGAAGTAACATGGAAACCAAAACCAATGAATTGAGGCAGTTTTGGTATATGGTGAATTTTAAATATTCTCAGTAGAACCATTCGAAAACTTGGAATACCTGCATAATTAATTGTTTCCGATTTGTTAGCCACTCGAGTATCTACAAATGACTGAGAGAGAAGGAAAGCACTGGTTTTCCAAGTTCACTGGAGACTCCCATACAAAAAGGGCAGCCGCCATCACCAACCTCTGGGAACTTAATGGTGTTCTTTTTGGGAATGGATCTAAGCAACTACACTGAGAGCAGTAATATGACCAATGGTATTTAGCCTAATTTTCTGTTAGGCAAAGTAGGGGTTGATCTACCCCTCTTAATTTTTAATGAAGCAGATTAACACCAAATCCTTTTACAGTTAAGTAGCTTCAAGAGCCTATGCTATTTTTGTTTTGATGAGTGAAGTTGGAGTATAAAGAATAATTATTTTTAGCCCTGGCTGGCATAGCTCAGTGGATTGAGCGCGGGCTGGGAACCAAAGTGTCCCAGGTTCGATTCCCAGCCAGGGTACACGCTTGGGTTGCAGGCCATAACCCCCAGCAACCACACATTAATTTTTCTCTCTCTCTCTATTTCCCTCCTTCCCTCTCTAAAAATAAATAAATAAATAAAAGATAAAAAAAAGAATAATTATTTTTGCTTTCTTATAAGAATACATTTTAAAAGAAATTTCCTTTATGAGAAAGAACATTTCCTATATATATGTTTTTGGTTCTTATTATTCTTTGGTTTTCTTTAAACAGAGGAAATTCCAATATCCTGCCTTTTTCTGTAAAGCTCTTTCTCTAGATGAATGGATGGAAGTTAAGTTTAACCGCTAATTAACTGGCACTAAAATTTAATTGGGCCCAAAGGGTGAAGTACTCAAAATTCATTAACTCCTTTTCTCTGACCCTTCCAGGAGAGCTGCAGAGTTAGCCTGCTGTCCAGATACCACAGGAGCTCATCTATCCCATCATCCAAATGTACACTCAACCAAAGGCTTAGCTTAGGATTTTAGGCAAATGGACTGATTTCAAACTGTGCGTGCCCGCAAGTAGTGTATCTCATCCCTTTTTATTTTCTAAGATGACGGCAGGTAAATCACAAGCGGAGAGCCACGAATGAGGTCCGTAATGAAGTGTCTGCTGTGTAACTGGGGCTCCCTAACTACACTGACGGTGGGCTCCACGGAGCTCCGTGGGCTCTGCATTCACTGGCAGCAGCGGCGGGCCGACGAACCCCAGCTGGTGGCCAGCACCGCTCGTCAGGGCACTGCCTCAATGCCCTTTGAGCAGGGACTGCCTCCCTAGTTAACCGCCACCGGTTCTAGTTTTTATTTTTCTGCTCCCTACACAAATCTCGCCCCCGCTTTTTGTCCCTTTCACGTAGCAATTGATTTTGCCTACTTTTTTTTTCATTCTGTAAATGTAGTTTAGGTCCACCAGATAGGTTCCCTCTAAAAAAAACCTCATTAGGCTTAAATCACACATAGATAACTAGTTGGAATGAGAATAATAATGCATGGTTAGGTGCTTGTAATTAAACAGCTGGTAAGAACAAAATTTAGCTGCCGTGTCCAACAGAACTTCCTTTTTGATCTATTTGTTAAAAACGATTAAGTTTGGAAAGCATAATTAAGCAAACATTTCAAGTGATGTCGATTTGCCAAATTGATGATAACTGCTTCATTAGGAAGATATGTTTTGAGTGGAAATGTAGGACTTTTATAATACTAGAATCCATGGAATTGAAATGTGTTTCACTTATGCACCTTGTGACATTAAGAGGCAGGTGTTCAAAATGTATTTTTTTGCTTTTTTTAAAATTTAAATCTGTGTCTTTAAAAAGATCAAGCCCACTGATCTATGGAAATTGCCTTCTAAATTATACCTTAAATACATGCATTTATTACTGAATTTGACTTATTTTCATTCTAATATTGAATCAAATTTTCAAACTACTTCAAAATGATATTTGAAAACCATGGCTCATGCTTTGCTTTCATTTGATATATTTATTTGAGAGGACATTCATTTTCCTTAATTTCTTATTGGGTCATGAGCCTTCCTTTTTATTTTATGATAATGAAGGATTATCGAATTAAAAGAGATAGAACTTTTTAATTATCTTTTTATTATTAGTAACAGTTTGATTCTTTTACTGCATGGCAGTGATATTCAACACATCATTAAAATTATTAAAATTAGTTGTTTGAGATATCTTCAGGTATTCTCCCCAATACATAGACAAAAAGTATTAATCAGTACAGAGTAATACATTGTACCTTGAGCTATGAGAAAAGTTAGGAATTTAAGATTATATTTCTTGGTTAACACAAAATTCCAGAGAAGCCATCACTTTGAAGGAGGGCATATTCATCAGTGATGAGACGCAGAAGCCAGAGGTTCACAGTAATTAGGAGCTTAACGCAGACTTTCCTCTCCATGTCAAAATAACTTAGATATGCAAAAACACATACAACCAATGTTACTTATGTCATAATAACCTTTGTTTTTAAATATAAAATTAGAAATTATATTAATGCTATGAGTGGTAAATAGATTCACTTTGCTTTTAAAAAATAAAAGTAATGAGAGTAAGAAGAATAAGTATATTTGAGGATTGAGTAGAATATGCCTGTTGATAGAATTTAATCTTAAAATGAACATTATACCTTATTTAATATAACAGAGGGATCACACAAAATTATTAACCTCAGGAATACTAGGCAGGCAAGAAAATAAAATCATTACAATAGAAGTGTCCCTTTTGGCATGTCTGGAAACTAAAAGATCCATCTTTTCTCTTGCAGCTGAAATATGGGGTAGACAATGAAAAGAACGATTACCAGTACAAGCTTTTTGGAGATGGAGCCGGAAGCACTTTTGTCATTGATGAAAAAACAGGAGTCCTATATGCGGTACAGAAGCTTGATCGAGAGGAACGGGACCACTACACGCTGAGGGCCCAGGTGATAGATGCCACTACTGGAAGGGCTGTGGGAACCCAGTCTGAATTCTCCGTCAGAGTCACGGATATCAATGACAATGAACCAAAGTTCCTAGATGGACCATATGAGGCCATTGTACCAGAGATGTCTCCAGAAGGTATTGCATATTAATTTATATCGAGCATATATTAATAATAAAAACAGATTTAGGATTTGGAGCATATGCTTCGGAAGTGAGTTATTTGAAAACTCTATATGTGTACTTCCTTCTATAAGCATGTTAAATTAAATATTTTAAAAATGAAACTACTGAAATGTTGTGAATATTGATAAATTATTTGTCTTGTTAAAATACATTCTCAGTCTTCAAGGCAATAAGGAAAAGTTTAAACATGTTTATTTGAAAGTGTAAACATGTTCACTTACTAGTTTCTTCAATGTGAAACTTTATTTTCCAAGAAACATATACTTTTGTATTTTAAAGAGGAAAAATGGTCAACCTTACAGTTATGTAGGAGAAAAATAGGAGTACGTTTGTAAGACAAAAATTCTCTGTGCATCCAAATCATGCAACGTGGAGACTAAACTCAAAACAAATTGGATGGATATCTCTGTGGAGCTGTACACACTTGCAAGTTTTTTTTAAACTCAATGTCACTTTTATTAATATTTTAAATATAATACATGTAGAATAGAGTACTTTTCCATGAGATATAAGAATTGACGACCTCAGGAATCAGAAATGTCTTTACAATAGGGGGAAATTATAGTGGTTATGCAAAATTAGTGCACTCACTCACTGAGTCAGAAAATTTTGATAACACAGTGTGTTATAAAATGTAATTGATACAATTCATTAATATGTGATAAACTGAAATGTGATCCAGTTATGGTCATTTAAAATGTTGTTTCCATGCTCAAAAACTGTTTTAACTGAATGTTTGATTCATTAGCCAGTGAGGATACAAACTTCCAATTATGAGATGATTAGAGGCTAGGGATGTAATACATACAGTATGGTAGTGTTAACGGGACTGTAGTTTATACTTGGAAGTTGCTAAGAGAGTAGATCCTAATTGTTCTTACTATGAAAACAAAATTGTGATTATGTCAGGTGTTGGAGATGTTAACTAACCTTATTGTGGTTATCATTTCCCAGCATATGCGTGTATCAATCATCATGTATCTTAAACTTATTTAATATTACTTGTCAATTACATCTCAATAAAGCTGAAAAAAACTTCATTTTAAGATTATTTATCATTAACATGGCACACATATGTCATAATGTAGAGCCATTATAAAAAGATTAAATGAAATTTATGTAAAATTTACACAGATTTCAAATTTTTTCATGAATTGTAATAAGTATTACATGTAGCAGAGATTTCTCAGAAACAAAAATCTTTGTTTCTTAAAATACATCAGATATGAAAATTAGATCCTATGAAACTTATGGCTTTGGACACATGAATTGAAAGTGATGGGTACTAGGATCGATTTTTCTTTGTATTCTTTGTGAATATATTATTATTTATTAAATACAGACCAATTTATTTGCCTTAAATTCTCTCATATTATTAAAAGTAGAGATGTCAAAGCTGCAACCCAAGAATAATACGAATGGCCTAATTTTCAGGTGATTATGGACAGAAAGCAAAATTACTTAAAGAATAGTTTGCACATTTGCATTGACAAGAGGAAAATGGCATTTCTTTCTTGAGTGTCACTTGGAGGTCCCAGGCTGTAAAGTAACTGCATCTCAGATATAAGCATGGATGGGCCAGTCAATACTTATAAATAACTAATAATCCTTATACTAACAAAACAAGTTCTCAGTGTCAAGGAATGGGCAGACGCATAGGTTAAACCATTATTCCCATCATGTATTTAATTTCATAAAACTGCCTTTTTACTAGATCATCTAATAGCTTATATCTGTTTTTGTTACCAAGATCACAGATTCAGGCTGTAGGTCAAAAGAATATTATTTACTGTGAGTTTGAATTTGACCATTGGACAAGCCCACATCGTCTCAATAAATTTGTTGCAGATTCATCAGATTAATCACAGTTAGGATCTGCTCTCTTAGCAACTTCCAAGTATACAGCATCATAAAGCTGTGAGTAAGAATAGCTTTTCTGTTAGACAGTTTACATCTTCATCCTAAGAAAAGCCTGTTAATACTTTTAGCACTGGATTCGGAACAAAAACACTACACACAAAAGTAAATGAGTCATTTTGAAATCTACAGTGGAAATCTTGGCTTGAATGCACGATATTAAGCTGCAGCATGCTGTTTATGTAGTATTCTGTAATAAATGCAAACTTTACAGACATAATGTCCTTAGCACAGGTTGCTGACTTCTCTGTCGCTTCTATGATATTTAACCTAGCCTGTACATCAGAATTTATCACTCTTTTGCATTTTTATGTTTGGATGTCTCCCCAAAATAATGAGAAGATAAAGCATTCTTTGTGAAATATGAGACACCACCATCTAATACAGTTTTGTTACTAATATTAAACTACCTTTGGGTGAGAATCATTCAGTCCTCTATAATTCTGGCTTGTACTAAAATCCATATAAATCAACACTGACAGAGTGACAGTATTTTTACATCAGATTTTACTTTCGATGGGTAAATAGGTCTAAAGTCTTGAGAATATAATTGATGCTACCAATAATGTTTGCAACCTTCAAATATTTTCTGTAGTTTTATAAGTTTTAGCACTTATCAACATTACCACAGAAAGCACAATTTATCGCTCCTCATACACAATAAATGCTTTATATTAACATACCATTCCTTCATTATAATTTTCTATCTATGTCTTAACAAATGAAAAACTATGTCAGCAAATGAAGATTCTGGGAGTACTAAAGTGTGATTTTTCTCTCAAGCACTTGGTGTGATTTTACTTCTTATGTGACCTACATAACAATATGATTTTGCGATACAGTGTGTCCAATAAAATAGGCAAAGTCAAATATCATCTCAAATTTACTTTCATAAGGTTATTTTGAAAAATAAAATAAGCTCTTAAGATTCAGAAGCTGGTTAGGAAGATAAAAATGATTTAAATTTGCACTTTTGGAAAAGTCTCTTAAGGGTAATTTTGGCCGACACTATCAACTATCATTGTGATACTAGAACCCAGGGTTGTTCTGTTGAATATTGTATTTGTATAATTCTGAGAGAACAACTTTTTTTCAGTTAAACTCCTATTCACTAAACAGAATAGATTAAAATTGATCTAAGAAAATTTTTAGACAGGAAATGCAATTGTTTGCCCTTACAAAGACTGATCAAGCTAATGTGACTTCTCTCAGAAGGCTTTAGGCACTTTCTGGTTAGCATTCCTTCCTAACTCAATTTCAAGGATCCAGCCAAGTTAAAATTTTAAGAGTTGCCAATTCTAATTACAGGAAGGTGTCTTAAGATGGCATAGTAGGAGTTAAGGGTGGGGCAATTCAACATCCACATACCTATCCTGGGGTAGTCACTCACCTGTATACATAGTCCTAGGGGTGATTTTGTATTGTCACAGGCGTTCTAAAGTAGGGTGATCCCATGACCAGTTTTAACCAGGACAGCTCTGTTCAATCCTATTTTATTTCTGGAATCTTTCTAGAAACATCTGTCCCTGACTTTTTATTTTAATTTTTTTCACCATTTTAAATACACATATTGGGGTGACATCGGTTAATAACACTCTGTAGGTTTCAAATGTTCCATTCTGTGAATATGTAAATTGTATTGGGTGTGAACCTTGGGTGGTAAACACACAATCCTGTTCTTTTTAAATTTTAGTATTATTAGCAGGTACATTACAATAAACTAGAGTAAATTTGGTAGGTATCTACTTTTTACATGTAGTTTCTTCTGTGGAGTGTAAGAAATAATGTGCCACAAAATATAAGGTTTTAATATTAAGAATTTCTTTGGGTCAACAACGAACCATACCATGATTTTGCTGATTATTCCTGAAGCCGCATATCAGCAGTCTAGTTCTGGACACTAGGAATGGGAAACCCCTGTGGGAAGAAATTAAATGGAGACCATGAGAACTTGTACGAGAAGTAAGTGATGTGTCCACAGAAGAGTAGTCGAAAGAACCTCTTGCCAAATACTAACTGATTAAATCGATGGCTCCTAGGAGGGCTTTTGTTGAAATAACTTCACGATCACTACAAGGATCAATGGGCTGATCTATCTATCTAGATATAACTTTAATATTACATTCTATAAATTTAAGGTGTACAATGTGTCGATTTGATATATTACATATTGCAATATGCTTACCACCAAATCATTGGCTAACATCTCCATCACGTCACATAGTCATTACTTCTTTGGTAGTGGGACCTTGAAGATCTCATCTCTCGGCCACTTGGAAGTTTGTGATGCACTATCTTGGATGACAGTCACTATATTGTGCATTAGCTCTTCAGAACACACCTTCTAAATGCAAGTTTCTACCCTTTGACCAATAACTCCCCAATTCCCCCATGCTCAACCCCTGGTAACCCGCAGTCTACCCTCTGTTTTTATGTGTTGAGCTTTTCTACATTCTACGTGTGATGTTATCTAGTTTTGTGTTTCTGTGTCTGACTTATCTTATGTATCATAATGCTCTTAAGGTCCGTCACAAATGGCAGGACAATAGTCTAAAACTCTTGAAATGAATTTGTGTACATTTTAAGTAGTTGTGCAGTATAAAGCAAGTGTTAAAAAGCTAACATAAAAATACTGAGCAAAGCAGCAGCCCCGGCTGGGGTGGCTCAGCGGACTGAGTGCTGGTCGGCGAACCAAAGGGTCGATTCCCAGTGAGAGCACGTGCCTGGGTTGCGGGCAGGTTCTCCAGCTGGGGGCTTGTGATGTTTCTCTCCTCTTTCTCCCACCAGTCCCCTCTGCTTAAACTAAATAAATAAATATTTAAAAAAAAACAAGCCATGAAACATTGTATAGACAATATATAGAATTAAGGTCCGTGGTAAAGTTTCAATAATTTGATTACTGAAGAATACAAGGATTTTCTAGTAGAGTTTCTTGGTTTCTAAAATTAGATTGTAATGAAAAAATCCTGGTGTTTGTTGCAAAGAAAATCACATAGCCTACTGGATTTTGTGCTATTGTTTTACCAGTCTTATTGATATGGCCCATCATGAATCAATAAACGAGAATTTTGAAGAAAATCCATAATGCTAGATTCCATAAAGATAATAAAAAACTAAGTACTTTTAAAGAAATTTAATTTGAACATTAATTTTAAATGTACAAGTACTTATTTTTTGAATATTTTTATTGATTGCTACTGGATTTTAATGCTAAATGCTAATCGATATCTGGTAGATTTTGCTTCGTACTTAAAAAAAGTTTTTTAAACAACAAGGTAATTTATAGAAGGGAATTAAGAAGCAAAATAGCTATGCCCACCCCAATTTGATACTATCTCAAGTTCATTTCAATAACCTTTATTAATGTTTTGCCAACATTCTCCAATTTTTTGAGTTACTGATCACAAGATAATTTTTGAAGGAAAGTTTTTTCAATTATTTTTCCTTTCTATGCTAATTACATACCTTTGAAAAGTCTGAATTACACATTGTCACGGATTGATCCATGGTTCATTTAATCACGTCATAGGTCTACACAAAATTCTACATGGTATATGGGAATTGGAGCCATTCTGTATGAGGTGGTACTCTCTTGTCTATACAGAAATATATTACATAGTATTCAAACTCAGAACAAAGAGGTGTACCAGTATTTGACTGTATATCATCATCGTACTCGCTAAGAAGGAACGCTCTACAGAACCGAATTGATTGTTCCATCATACCAGAGTGAATTTCTCGCAACTGTTTACTTTCTCTTCAGAGACGTCCGTCATCCAGGTGACAGCAAGTGATGCTGATGATCCCTCCACTGGCTACAATGCTCATCTCGTGTACAGCTTGCTGCAAGGCCAACCGTATTTCTCCATTGAAGCAAAAACAGGTATTTCCGATGAAACAAAATGCAATCCTATATAATCCTCAGGCAAATATAACAGCAAAAACATTCAGCTTACAAGCAGGCTGTAAACCAGACCTACTATTACACAAACAAACAGGTTTTATTTTAAACACAATCATGTTTAGTCTTTTAGCTAATATTTCTAAGATTGAAAGGTTGGTTTTTACACATCCATACTGCACATGGTTAGTGTATGGGAAATAAGACACGTGTAAGGATTCTTGCTAATCAAGTAGAAAATGACAGATTACCCAGTTAAAAATATGGGGAAAAAAACTTTACAAGCAATTGACAAAAAGCCTACAAGCATATTAAAAATGCTCACCTCATTAATCATCTCGGGAGTGCGAACTAAAATCACAATGAGATACACCTGCAGTCCAAACCAGAACGGCTACCATTAAGCATGAACTTGCCGGATGCAGCAATTGATAGGAGACATTCACTTTCAAAAAATGATTTTTTTTGCAGTCCCTCTCTTTTTAATTTAGATGTAAAACTTGAATTTCTAAAATTGCTTTTCCAATTTTCATTAATGAATTGAATATTTTATAAAATAAGTAGGACGCGGTTCTTGTTTTTTGAAATAACGTCCACTGGATACATAAAAATTACATGATACTATTTCATTTTACAGACACTGGTTGCCGTGTCCAACACAAAGGTTAAGCCTATAGAAATCCTGCCTTCAAGAGCTTATAGTTTCACAAACGGGAAAGAGAAAACCCATACACGTGTGTAACTAACTGCCAAGAATGTGGCAAAAGAAGGAAACATTTACTCTAGTTAATAAGAGGCAAATTATTTTTCCATCTCAGTGGCATGAAAAGCTTAAAAGAATTAAAACATTTTGGTGGACCTTTAAGCATCTCTTACTGCTTCATTCAATTAGCAGATAATAAAAGCCTCGGCCTTTATCAATCAGGGTTTCTTGGGAGAGATTCTGAAAAATAGAACTTGAGTGACTGTATTTGTAATTCCACCAAGCATAGTACCTAGCTTCTATTATGCTGGATGCACACAATAAAAGCTATGTTAGGACATGCAATGGATTCCTTAAGACATTATGTTTTAACTCCCTCCCACAATCCTGGTTGCGAAGGGCTGAATGTGTAACAGGCGTTGTGCAACCTACTGGATTTAGGACTTTACGACCTAAAACAACAACAACATGGAATCCTCTCCTGGAACTCACAAATGTATATTAAACATGCAAATATTCACAAATACATATACTCAGTTTGTGAATAGTATCAAGGGAAACGAACATGATCCAATAAGAGAAAGAAAGTGAGGACGAATTTATACTGTGGGTCCAAGACAGAACACACTGAAGCCGGGATGCAGAGTGGAGCCGGTGGCCCAGCCCTAGGGAGCCCAGGGGCGTCCCAGGTCCCAGGAAGAATGGGAGAGACGTTCCTGAGATGGGAGAGTGGGGGGGTGTGCTTAGATGAGAGGCCCCTGTGGGAACTCGCAGAGCAGGAGAGTAGGAAACGAGGTATCTGAACAACAGACACGTGCTGGGTCACCCTGGAGTTTCTTGACAGTTTTGAAGCATTACCTTTTACTGTCTTTTTTCCCCAACCATCACTGTTTTTAAAAAAATGTATGGAGCAACTTTGAGAAAGCTATGAATTGCATTCATGGAGGCAAGGTGGAGTGGGCAGCAAGAAAATTGAGGCCCTCCAAAAAAATGAAGTTGTAAGTTTTGGAGTATAGGAGAGGGTCTGGGAATACACAGGGTCCAGCCGAAGGGACACCTTGGTGTGGCTGGTGGGGTACGTGAACGTCTCGCACAAGATGGACGGCGATTTGACCATTTCACCTAAAATGTCCTCTGGTGTGCTTGAGTGTGATGTTGTTATGTTACAGAATGACATGCTTATGATTTTGTAATAAAATATTTTGTAACAAAAAAGGGTGTTACTTGTGCCAGACCCTGTATATCCTTTGTTTGGTTTGAAGGTGAGAAGAAAAGTTAAAAATAAAGTAGACAAAGTGCATGCAAGCGCCCACACCCAGGGAGCAAAGGTGTCTCTGGTCCTCTCACTGCTTCACTGGCCTCTGCATCTTTGGATGTACGATGTATGCCGGAAGCTCTAGTACTATTTTCCTTTGCTAATATGAAACAACACTCTCTTGAGTCACACATTGGGAGATACTCGTAGCATCTGTTGAATATATTCAATGGTTTTCATGCTGATTCACATTATACATGATACTTATGAAATACTCTATCCACAATTAAAATCCTGTCACAAAGCAGTCTATTTTATTATTTTAAAAGTAACTGGTATCATGATTTTTCTGATGAACACTTTTTTTCCAGATACATTTGAAGATTATCTTTCCTGTGTCTTTGTTAAGTGTTCCCCAAATCTTCAGGACCGCATTCCCCTAGGGACTGCTGAAATCTTTCCGAAGTTTTATTCAGTGATAATTTCTTCACTAACTGATTTTCTAGAAAGTGGTCATGCATTACCATATTCATCATGGCTCATCTTGAGTTTGAACACTTGTGCATTGTTCATCTTCACTGGTAGATTATGAATAATTATTTTTTGACAGTTAACTCAAAATTTATTTTGCAAACTCATTGCAAAACACACTTTACTTGATATTTCAACCATGGTTAACACCATAATAGGTTAAACTCTGAATTAAAAATACCAACTAAATGGTACAGACATATGATTTCACGTAGTTTATCCAAGTGAAAGCATCTGTATCATACATATATCTGGAAATCGTTTTCTATTTAAAGTTGTGTAAGGCAGAGCTGATAATGAGATTGCAATAATATAGTCTACCATCCTTTCTCAAGTTGTTCTGTGATATGTTATCATAATTATGTATCAAAAACCAACTTTTCTTTATACATCAGGACTCAAAATAGGCATCACAGGTGCACAATATTTTTACATAAATTTGGTGTTGTAATTTACACATTTATCCGTAATAAACTATCTTATGCCAAGTTAAGAAGAAAAGTTAATTGTAGCGCACTAATATTATACTAGAGAAGATAGCAGAAAATAGTTGATGTAAAAATAGAACAGTCTTCTTTTGTACCTGTGGGTTATCATAAAATGAGGTTTTATTAAGGGTCTACTAGTGTTCTTAATGTTGTGATGGCACACTAAAATCAAGGCAGAATTGTTTAATTTGTTATTATTATTACTTTTTCTCTGGAGCGGTATCTAGCACATTGTGATGATTTGAAACGTGTCAGAAGTATGATTATATGGTTGGAATCTTAAGAAATTAACTAGCAAGATGCCATGGTTAATTATAGAATAATAATTGGAGTTTATCACATTTTTAAAGGCATTATAAGAATATCTTCTAAAATGGACAGAGAACTGCAAGATGAGTATTGGGTAATCATTCAAGCCAAAGACAAGATCGGCCTGCCTGGAGCACTGTCAGGAACAACGAGCGTATTAGTTAAACTTTCTGATGTTAATGACAATAAGCCGGTGTTTAAAACAAGTAAGTAGAAGCATCTTGAATTTTCGTTATGACGTCATTATAAGTCTGCCGAGTGTACGTGCAGCTGTTGGTTTGCATTCCAAGAGCACTACTACAGCACTAACATTATATAAAATAAATTCCGTGGTGCTAATTGTGATTATTTTCTCTAGTGTGAAAGGTCAAATACAAACGAAAGAGCAATATGTTCAATTGCTTCTGTCACCAATCGCCACCAACTTCATGTCTTAACGCAAACTGGTTACCTTAAGGATGTCTGGTACAGGCGTCAGCAGGTCAAGTCAGACCAACCTCAGTGCGACTGTGGGGGCTGCCTTCCTTCTTCTGAGCTCGAGGGCGGGACCTGTTCTCTTGGATTTGGAGACAGATTCACAGCCTCTGTCTCCTTGATGGCTGTCAACTGGAGGCCACACCCAGCTCCTAGAGGACCCTTTCTGGTTCTTGTGCAGAGCCACGTATCTCAGAGGCAGCCAAGGCTGTCGTGTCATACCCCCCCTCTCTGCCATCACGCTGATCTTCAGTTTTACCTCTTCTTCTACTTTAAGGACACGTGTGATTACATGGGCCCACTTGGAGAGACCCATGTCCACAGCCAAGGTTAGCTGATTAGCAACTTTAATTCCACCTAAAACCTTAATTCCCCGTTGCGTGTTTTCAAGGGTATTAGGGCACAAATACCTTTGGGAGTCATTCTTTGACCTCTGACCAATAATGATCTAAAATGAATATTTCTTATTTTTTATTTTTGTAGCAAGAATAGATCACACCTGCTGTCAGAATTTAAGTAGTGAGTACAAGTTACATTATGCTGTGTGGTTCAGAAAGAATTTCTTTAGACATTATGAGGAGGAATTTATTGTCTAGGGAGCTTCTTTTTCAGGGGTTTCTGTCTTAGCTTCAGAAATCAACTTGCAAGCTTTTCTAGAAATCATGAGCAGTTATCACGATGGAAGGAAAATGTGATGAGCATGGAACAAAGAAAGAAGTAGATCAAACAGACACACACACACACACACACACACACACATGCACAAAATGATGCAGACGCTACTCGGGGTAGCCACTTGGTGCCAGGCCCAGGGTCGTCAGCTTTTTCTGAACTTTTGAGAAATACTATAATTCTGAATATTTACTCCTGTGCTATCATCCTGTTTTACATTTTATTAGTTTGAAAATGTAGCCACTGTTATTATTTTCAAATAGAAATTGTAAATATTTGAGGTGTACAACATGAGCTTCTGATAGGGTTATAGTGAGATCATCACTGCAGTCAGACTAACTCATGTATCTGTCCCTGCACAGCTGGCTTGCATGTGTGTGTGTGGTGAGGGCACCTGAGGCCTACTCTCTTAGCAAATTTCAATGATTTAATATAGTTACATTAACTATAGTCACCGTGCTCTACATTTCGAGAACTCATTTCTAGATTTCTAGAATGTAGTCACCCCACGTAATTGCAGCTTTGCACCTTTAGAGCTACAGCTCCTCATTCCTTTGTGAGCTCCTTTCTGAACAGAATTTAGGCAATGGGGTAGCAATGTGTGACCTCTACCTTCATGCTATGAGTGGCATTGTGTTTGTGACTCTCTCCACAAGGTGAATGTATCCCTATAGGCAAGAAGATAATGTCTAACGAAATCCAAAATGCCCAGACCTTTATCAAATAATTGGCATATAGAAAACGTACAAAAATAGTGGCTGAATTCACTGAATAAACCTAGTCTATTTCACTGGATTAATTTGTTGACAATTTTATATTATGTGATCAAATAAACAATTCTTTTTATTTTCCCACAATGAAATAAACACTGCAGCACAGTTAAACTGTTATTTCCTTACAGAATAAAAGATTAGCTACTTTAACATTTTCACTTAAAAAAATAAAGGAAAGTCTTTCGAGGCAATCTGTGAAGTGGCTTGCTAAAAGAAATAAGAATGCTTCAGAGGAAATCAATAATATCTTTAAAGAAAATTATATTACATGGTCTCTTTTTTAATACTAAGAAATTTCATTCTTTAGAATAATAAAATATGTTATTTCCTATATTTTAGTATAAATCAGAAAGTAATAATGTAAGGCTGGCTAGTCTTTATCAGTTTCAGGCACGATACTTCTGAAAGTCAGGAAAAGAGCTGAGTTATTTCTATTTATTATCTATATGTTTCAAGTACAGTTACCATTATATTGTTGTGGCTAAACAATGAAGTCATCTAATTTAAACATAGTTTTTATACTGCATCCACTTACCAAATTTGATGGATCTAACTTCCTTTTTCACGTCCACTAAGTCTAACGGAATCCAGCCTCAAAACCTCCAAGTCAAACTATTATGCTTGGAACTCAACTATGGCTCGTAGTCTCTGCCATCATGAATTCATGCTTACATGTTTTTGGTTATTTTAGGTATAAGAATGCTTAAGTGAAATTGAAAAACTTTTTATCAAGTTTATTGTGGGCCCATGGAAGGGTACAATAAAAATATATCCATGAATATTGAGATGGTTTTTATAATAAGTAGAAATTTGGAAATTATATGTATTGGTCATAGGACTTACTAAGATATATTTAAGAGACAATAATAGATGATCAAATAAATTTTTAAAGAAATATGCAGATGGTAAAAATAAAGAATGAGTATATGTGTGTACATGCATGTGTATCGGTTGGGCGCCATGCTGCAAAGCAAAAGGTCACTGTTCAACTCCCAGTTAAGGCATATACCTGGGTTGTGGGATCAGTCCCCGATTGGTCAATGTTTTTCTCCCTCTTTCTCCCTCCCTTTCTCTCTCTCTAAAAATAAATAAAATCTTAAAAAAAGGCAAAGGTGGGCATGGGTTTCCCTATGGCCCATAAATAAAGGGTGCTATAATTGGGAGATTCTTATGTTTATTATTTATATGAAGTATCTTGAATTTTGTTTTCGAAGGTTTATACCGCATGAATGTCTCTGAATTCGCACCCACTGGTACTTCTATAGGAAAAATCATGGCCTATGATAATGACATAGGAGATAATGCAGAAATGGAGTACGTCATTGAAGATGATTCACAAACGTTTGATATCATCACTAATCATGAGACCCAAGAAGGAATAGTTGTATTAAAAAAGGTAGATATATTAAAATTATTTGCTTTGCAGAATAATTTTACTGCAATTTTATTTCAAATCAGAAATACATACAGTTATTTTGTGTAGCCAGTTAGTTTCGAAATGAGAACCTGTGATTTATTTATGGTGTAAGGAGACAAGGAATTTAGAGATGTGGTTTTGTTATTACAGAACTTCTTGCATTATATGTAGAATGTTTTTTAAAAAATATGTTAAGTAAAGGACGAACTTTATGAAAAGATCTTAAATGTCAAAAAATAATTCTTAATTCCATAAGATATTTATCCACAGAAAAGTATAATTTTAAACCTAAATTAAAAATTATTTGGAAATTATATGTACTGGTAATAGGACTTACTAAGATATATTTAAGAGACAATAATAGATACTCAAATAAATTTTTAAAGAAATGTGCAGATACAGTTAATATCCTGAAGCATTTTATAATAGATATAAACAACAAAATACAAATAGGGATTTAGTGTGCTACTACTTAATGATTCTGTCAAAGGGATCCAGGTAGATAAAAAGTAAAACCAATATGCAGATCATGGGTTATAGAACTGTATGCCTGAAACCTATAAAATCTTATTAACCAATGTCAGTCCAATAAATTAAATTAAAAGAAAAAATATAACACAGAACAACTTAAGTGGGGGAAAAAGTAAAATCTAACTGAAACTGAAGTAGTGCAACCACAAAATCTTTCTTTTTCTAAGCAATGCCTTGGGTTACTGAAGCCATTTCTTCTGTGTACACTGCATTTCTTTATAGAAAGTGGATTTTGAGCAGCAGAACAACTATCGCATTAAAGCAAAAGTTAAAAACCCCCGTGTTGATGAGCAGCTCCTGAAATACCACGCTGAAACTTCCACCACGATCATTAAGGTCCAGGTGGGAGACGAGGATGAACCCCCGGTCTTCCACCTCCCGCATTACGTGTTTGAGATCTCCGAAGGACGCCCGCGGGGATCGTGGGTGGGCACCGTCTCGGCCAGAGATCCAGATCAGAAGGAATCTCCTATCCGGTACGTCCGCAAGGCCAACTTTGCAGTAATGAATGCACGGACACAGACTGGCTTAAATACGTGATGTTATGCCTGTGACACAAGGATATGCCCATATTTATCCATATAGTACTTAGAGCTTCATTATTGGTTAAAAAGCCACAAAATAAGCAACTGCAAACATGAAAGAAATCAGCAACCATCATCCAAAATTGGATGCAACCATCTCCGTGAGTAGGGGTAGGAAGGTGAGGGTAAAGGAGTCCTTGATTAAGCCCAGTCAAAGAAGACACACACGAAGCTGATCCAAATGTCGTTCCGTTTTAATAGTATTTAATTAAAATGATATTCAAAAGTTGAGAAAGCTTTTTTTTTTCAGCTCCGGCCAGTCGGCTTAGTTTGTTGGAGCATCATCCCACACACCAAAAGAATGTGGGCTTGATTCCTGCTCAGGGCACGTGCTGGGTTGTGGGTTTCTTTCTGCATCCGGCTGCTCACAAAGACAATCCGATCAATGTTTCTCTCTTGCATCACTGTTTCTCTCTCTCTCTCTTTCTCTAGCTCTCTCACTGTCTCCTTTACCCTCTCTCTAAAAATCAGTCAACATACTTGCAGGTGAGGATGAAAATAAAATTGAGAAAGCTTTTTATAGGACACCACTTAAAAGAGTAAAAATGGAGTCAGTCTAATCAGAAATAAATTTCTGTTACTGTTCAATGGTATTTGCCATACACTAGTCTGCTATAGTCACCCTATTTCCTTCTTTTTTAATATGTGAATTATGGGTCTGGTTAGACATAAGAACGAAGTCTGTTACACGTTCCCTTAATCTATTTACCACCACTCCCCCTCCCCGCCCCGCCATGTAGGCGCTGCCTCTGCTATGTGCTTTGCAGAGACTACAGATTCAAAGAAGGAGCTTCTTTAAATCTTTGAGAGAGAGGGATGCTCTCCCTTTTCCACTCTAATTACTAATCATAAAAGCTGCTTTCTAATAGGTAGATATAGTTCCTATGTACTTACAGTAATTTTAGAAAAAACTGTAAGTGTGCATATGATGTATGTGTATCATTAAAACCCAGTGAATCAGTTGTTTAGATTTTTGTAGGGTATTTATTAACTTGTTCTTCTTAGAATACTTAAGAGTATCTAATATTTTTCATTCACATATTTAAAGATTTTATTTATTTCCTTTTAAAGAGAGGCGAAGGGAGGGAGAAACAGAGGGAGAAAAACATTGAGTTGAGAGAGAAAGAGTGACTGCTTGTTTCTGGTATGCACTCTGTCCCGGGACTGGACCCACAACCCTGGAAGGTGCCCTGACCGGGAATCGAACCTGTGACTTTTTGCATTGCAGAATGATGCCCAACCAACTAAGCCACACCAGTCAGGGATACCTAATATTTTAAAAATGCTTTAAAGACTACACTGTTCATTATATTCTCATGTATGATAGTAAAGTGTTGAAAACAATTTAAATGTTGAATTGTATTGATGTAAATAAGGCAATGAATGATGATTTACAACAATGTTTATGAACACTGATGAAAAAACATGGTATGATTTTAAAAGATAATACAAAATTATTAGAGTTGTATGTTTACTACAAGTAAAAATGTTAGGTATATATTGGGCAGGTAAGTGAGACAGATGTTAAGAGAAGTCATGCATTTTATAGTACTACTTCTGGTGGTTACTTACCTTATTTTCTACAAAAAATATTTTTTACCAACAGTTTTCATTTTTATACTGAAATTAATTACTCTTAAAAATAGTTTGTGAACACCTATCAACAAAAATATATTTCAATGCCTTTTCTGGACATTTTTTACATTTAGAAGTATCTTTTAAATGAAATTACTTTTTAGTTTTTTCCATGTAATATAGCAAATGTTCAAAACATATCATGAAAACAAAATTAAACTTGTGTGCACTAGGCTTGCATGTGTCTCCGTTTCTTGTGAGAAATGGGAATGGAACTTCTGTATTTGTACAAACATTAAGAACAAATGTAAAGGCATCTGGAGATGGAATCATGGAAGAATCTTTTGTTTACATCATTCTGGTAGGGCTGTGAACAGTGAGAAAACATTGCACCATCACCTTTTAGTCATTCAGCTTTTTGAAAACTTGATTTATGGGGATGACACTGGTTAAAAAGACTATCTTGGTTTCAAGTGCACAATTCTATGACACGTGGTCTGCACGTGGTACTGTGTGCCCACCACCCAGACTCAGCGCTCCTCCCCTCACTGTTTATCTCCCACCCCGTCACCCTTCGCTACTTCCCCACCCCCCGCCCCTCTGGAAACCACTGTAATGGTGCCTGTGTCTGTGATTTCTTTTGTTCATTTGTTCTTCTTGTTTGTCCATTTGTTGCTTTCGGTTTCAAAATTCAACATTTAAATTGTTTATAACATATGAGTGAAATCATGTGGTTCTTAACTTTTTCTGTCTGACTAATTTTGCTTAGCATGATAGTCTCAAGATCCATTTACGTTGTAGCAAATGGCAGTACTTCATCTTTCTTATGGCTGAGTAGTATTCCATTGAATATATTTTTAAAGAAATGGAGAGTCCATAAAAGGCAATTTGAAGCGAACCAAAGATTCATCTTTTACGCATCAAACATTTACATTTTAAGCTTATTAGCTCAGGCTCTTCAAAACGTATTTCAGACAAGTTTCATATTCTAACTATGTTTATTGACTATTATTTAAAATGTTACTGCTCACTGAGGATCATAATTTTTAAAACTCTTACTTGGAAATAACCTTTAACTTTTGATTAGTTTTATTTTGACTGGTATATTATAGAAACTGGATATTCTAGATATTTAGTACAAAATATTAACTGATAAAATGCTGTTTCATTTGTCAACAAATAAGTAGAAAATTTGACCACTTGTGGGAATGTAAGTAAATCACTTATAAAGGTTTAAAAGTGAGTAAAGTTCAAACCGAATTCCTCTAAAGCTTTATTCTCTGTCATTTCTGTTTTAATTCTCCCCAGGATACCAAGCTACAAATTAGTGATATTTTTAGAAACCTGTCAATTGAAGATTAAAATAGTCCCATCTTTTATCATCCAATTATGGCAAACCTCATTGATGTCTCATCAAAGTCTTCCGGAATATTCTTGCGATGAGAAGCCCTCCCCTAACCCTAGTTATTACTCTTCTTTAATTTTTATTATTAATCATTTGCAGCCAGATAAGACATGCTGAGTACTTCAAAGGCTCCTTTCATTGTGGAGCTGAAGATCATTTTCCAGACTTTTCAGTATGCAAAACACATTTTATTCTATTATTATTATTTATAAATTATATATTATAAACATTATCATTTATATAAATTATTATATTATTTCCACACAAAGAGCTGTCAACCTGCCTTTGCTTTATGTATATAACAATATGCTAATAGTTAATAAATTTTCTTCCAGCAAACAAAAACAAATAATTTCTCATAGCTCGGCTATCAAGTAATTATAATATGATACACAGATTTAGCATGCAACTCTGTGTTGGAGTGAGTCTCAGAGCAGTCTAAGCTAGTGATTTGTTTTATGTTGCTTCCTATTAAAAAGAAAAGGTTCACACGCATTCATTTTTACCCCCATTTATTGGCATTTCTCTTTATTTTGTGAATGACATTTTGCCATTTCCTTTCTAAACAAGTTACCCACTTATTAGCATTCTCTCTTGGGAATGAACATGAGTTTAGATTGAGCAAACATCAGTTTAAACCTGAAGCCACTTTAGTTTCTTTTTTTCCCTATCTTTACTGAATTGAAATACATATACATATGTGTGTGTGTGTATATATATGTGTGTATGTGTATCTGTTTCTGAAAATTGTTCAGAATTTAATTACTATGTGGAGCATGCATTTAACAATCTGTCTTATTGCTTTGAACGTGTGTTATACGGAGAAAAAATAAAACGAAGGGGCACTCTTCTTTGGTTCAGGTATTCTATACACATCTCCGGAAGCGGCGAGTTCTGCATTGATGACAACGGCACCATCTTCACAGCCAGCCCTCTCGATCGAGAGGTGAGTGCGTGGCACAACCTGAGCGTCAGAGCGGCGGAACAGGGTAAGTCCTCGCTTGGGTACCGCAGATCAGTGCGCCGCGACGCCCAGGCGTAGGAACCAAAGCTCGCTTACAATGTTGATGGAGTTAAATGGTATTCTATATGTCAATTCATGCATCTGCACTTATTTCATTATTTTAAATTAACAATGTCTGCTCCTTGCTGTTGTGCTTATAAATTGCCTCACCATTTACATTTCTGTAGCAGTAAAAACAAACCACCTGAATTGTAGACAACAGAAGATCACAAAAAAAGTGTCATAAAAAAAAACACCCGCCGCATGTGGTAACCACCTGGAAGATGCGGCACAACAGTTATGTGGCTTGTGGGAAAGAGACGTTGTCTTGTGACATTGGTCTTATCAGCAAATGAAGTTCACGTTGCTTCGTCTCTTTCCTGGAAAATTTCCCAAATTAAGTGACACGCTATTTATCAGCATGTCAGCTAAGTGAGCAAAACCACTATCTTTAAAAAAGCTGTGAAGATATCAATATATGTATGTTGTAAATAGTCATGTCAAAAGTTTAATTTGAACAAAATTTTAAACAGAATTTTCAGAGAAAAAGAATAGAAACTTTAAATGAATTTCGTACTAAGTTTTCTTCAATTTATTTGTACCTGGAATTCTTTTCCCAGTTTACTTACCAAAACAAAACAAAAAAATTCTATGATGATATGTTAAAACCATTCAAAGATGCACCTTAAATTTGGAATCACTCCATCTCAAAATCTCTAGGGACACTTTTTATATTTTAACGTTGTATTTATCTGTTTTCCTAAATATAACACGATAGAGAAGAGTCTCGACATAATTCTTAATGGTTTATGTATTTCCTAAAAGCCATGGATTTGTGGTATATATTAAACTTGCAATTTATAATACTTAAGTGAAAATTGCAATATCTGTCCTAATTGCAATATCTGTCAGAATCATAACTGATTAATTGGGAAAGACAGTTACAAACAAAATTTCATCCCAACCCAGAAACCTTCTCTACGACAGTGGGAAAGTAACAGTTTTATCACTCAGAAGCACTGAAGCAGAGTGAGATGTGCGTTCCAGGGAACCTGCTAAGAGACCGCCCAGGCAGAGAGAGCTCTCTCCCTCTCACACGCCCAGGCAGGCATGGCCCATCACACGCTGTTCTCGAGAGAAGCAATTACCAGCGTTCAAGGAGGAGGGCTTCCCACCACCCATCCCACACGGTTCCTTCTACACTCACTAGGCGGTTGGGTTGCCCACCTGAGTTTGCTAATTGACTTTCTCCAGATGAAAACTAAGCTTTTCATTCCTTTAGGACAAGAGGTAATTTTGCAAGTTGGGTCAAAGCCTTTGCTGACCTTTGGCTCCTAGCCTCTCACAGAAACTGGAAGGAAGGCTACTCCCTGCTTGAAGACACATTTGAAAGGGTGGGCACCTAGTACTTGAGAAAGACAGAGCTGGGCTGGAAGGTTGGCAGGGGGACTTCTAACTATGAAAAGGCTTACATGCATATCAAATGTTCTAAGAGGAAGGAAAGACAGTCTGTTCCCTTACTTTCAACAGAGAATTGTCTCTTTATTTTTATTTTTCTTTATCGTTGTTCAAGTACAGATTTCTGCTTTTTCTCCCCACCCCTCCCCACCACCCCAGTCCTTCCTGCCCCCTCCCCCATTTCCACCCCCTTGTTATTGTCCATGTGTCCTTTATAATTGTTCCTGTAAACCCTTCCCCCTTTCCCCCATCATCTCCTCCCCGCTCCCCTCTGGTCACTGTCAGCCTGTTCTCAGTTTCAATGTCTTTGGCTATATACTATGTGTGCTTCTTCGTTTTGAGAATTGTCTCTTTAAAAAAGTGTTTACATTAAAAACCACAGTTGTCAATATAAGGCTTTTATAGGAGCAAAGGATCCTATTGATTATAAATAAAAACATTAAGAGAAATAAAGTAACCTCCCTCTTCCTACTCTTTAATTGTTTGTACCTTTCCCATAGCATGTTTAAATGAAAGAGGAGTATTAAAAACAATGTTATGCATATATAGGATACATTATGCCACATCTTGTTTTTTATCATTTCACAAAACATGTATATTATTACTTCTGGTTAGTAGATAAAATAATATTTGACATTTATTGCTCCTTTATATGTTAAGAAATATTCTAAATGCTTTATGGGTATTAATTTATTTAATCTTTATAACAGTTCTGGAAGTAGATACTAGTATCATTGCCATTTTGCAGAGAATTGACTGAAATAAACAGCTAAGTAATTGTCTCAAAATGAGAACTAAGATTAAACTTCATTTTTAAAACTCATGCTATTAATACATTTGTTACATTGACTCATTCATTTTTAATAAGCACACAGAATTTCACAGGATGGTTGTAATTTATTTTGCCAATTCCCCTTTGATGTACAGTTGGGTTATTTCCAGTTATTTGTGATGCCAGCAGTTCTGGAGTACACACATTGAATCTTGTACTCCTATGCACTGGTGCTGAGGCCGGATAGCCAGAAGCTGGGAAAGTTCCTTGGCAAGTGGAGTGGGGAAATGGAGACAGATAGTTAAACAGCTGAGCAATTTACAGCCAAATAATAAATCACATCTTATCTCCCCTAACCAAGGACACTTAGGAGCGAATGGTTTATACATTCTAGACGGCGCTGGAGCCCACCAGCCTCCGTCCGGGTCCTTCTCTGGTGACACTGTTTGAAGGTGAAGCTGACCGGAGAATGACCCTGACCTCTGTGTATGCTCATTTTGATAAATCAGCACATTGAGGGACATACCTGAAAAGCTGATGCATATTCTATTAAGATCCTTCCCTGAGACCTCCCATGAAATTTCCGCCTTTAACAGATGAAAATCCTTAAAACAAAGGACCCAGCACACACTCTCTCTCTCTCTCTCTTCAGCACGCCTGTGCCTTCCCCCCTTCTTTCCTCGGGGATGTGCCTTGGCTTTCTTTCCCCTGAGCTCTGAAGGTTCCCAGGAGACTTGTGACCAGGGCAACAGTGGGCAGTAGCCGCTTATCCTGGGCAAACCCCTGAACCTGCCTCCAAGGGACCCCCTGTAACTTGTTTCCTGAGTCCGTGCAACCCAGCCGGCTCACGCCTTCTGCCTCTGTGACTTTCTATCTAAAGGGCCAACACAGCGGCACCTGGGTTTGACTCTTCCTCCTGTTTCCAGAAGGCCAAGGCAGCTCTGCCAAGGCTCCTTCCGGTTGCAATGCTCTTGCCTCCTCTATCTGACGCCCTTCCTTTGTGTCATTGTCCCCAGCTCTAATAAAGGTGCTCTCAAAATCGCCTGGACTGGCACTGTGAAGTCTTCCCTGCATGAAGTCAGGAACTCACGCATTTCAGACCTGGCCGGGGCAGACCCCGGGGTTCCCATGCAAATTACTGGTTCAAAGATATACGTAGTTTAGCTTTCACTGTCTGTTGCCAGATAAGGTTCTAGAATAGGTTTTCTTCCCCATTATTTCTCAGCATTCCACCATCCCTAGGTTTTGGGGTTGTTTTTTTTTTTTCATATTTAACACCAATTCCATGAACCAAATCATCGTTCTCCACACTTCCGGTGAGCAAGAGCCTTTGCAAATGTTTTGATAAAGCAGCATCTCTCAGCTGTGGGCTATTTTTGCTCCCTAGGACATCTGACAAGGTCCGAGGACAATTTTGTATATCACAACCAGTGGGGGGATTGCTATCGGCATGGGGTTAGTACAGAGACCAAACAATGCTGCTACGCATCCTACAATGCACAGATGGCCCCTCAACACGGCGACTCATCCAGTCTAAAGTATCAATAGCAACAAAGTCAAGAACGCCTGGTTTCAAATCACTTGAATTTTTCTCACCTGGGAATTGGTGGTTTGTGAATATTCCCACTGGTTTGTCTTTTTCACATCATTTGTCAGGATTTGAAAATGAGAGCTATTCATATTTCATCTTGTGATGCGAACACTTATCCAGACCACTGTTTTCTGGTTTTATCTTTTTTTCACATTGCTTTTTGCTATTTAAAAAATGTATTTACCTGCATCCTCCCACTCTTTCATAGTTCCTGTATTTCTATTTCTTGGCTCAGTAAGAACACCCTCCCGACTCAATGTACATATAAACCTTTACTTAGCTGCTACTTTAATTATCTTATTTTACCATGTATTTAGATAATTATTTCATGCCCTGTTCTGTTGTTAAAAACTACGCTGGATGATACCATCATTAAGAGTACTTGCTGGTGGCTTCTTAACTGCCTTTGACATTCCAGCTATGACCTTAGGCAAGTCATTTAACTGTAATTTATGAAACTAAATGGTTTCTGAATGTTCTTAACAGCCAAGCTGGGGAGGATAATAACACACGTATTCATCAACATTGGATTAATGAGCATAAATATGTTAAAAATGTCCTGGGTTTTAGGAAGATGTTCATGTAACTATCTTTTTTACTACAGTTTCTCATCAGCTCCTGCATGTACGGCAGGTACAAAGCACTCGATAAACATTGGTTGAGTTGAATGTGTTAAGAACATTCTTTTCTAGCCTGTGTTGTTGATGAATATATGAATTATATAGAGAGGCTGTCCTCAGCTTTTATTCAAATGGCACTATACCACATAACCTCTAATGTGCTTTTTATAAATGTTTCCCCTAATGAAAGAATTAATATTATTTATTTTTACTCTGTTTATTGCAGACAATGTTGAACAGATTTCTTCTGTTCCCGTATATGTGCAAGTTCTTGATATTAATGATAATGCTCCTGAGTTCTCTGACGACTATAAGACTTATGTTTGTGAAAATGCCGGCTCTGGCCAGGTGAGACTCTAATCAACTCCTGACATATTAATCACATGCTTTCATGCTGTGTGTTCTGTGTAAATTAAATTTCTTTTGAAAAACAGTAACATGTCACACTTTGACAGTGTTTCTATTCAATGTTTTTATATAACCTTTATTATATTTTTCCATTACCATTCAGTCCCCTTATACCCGCCTAGCCCCCTGCACATATCATACCCATGGTCCATATCCATGAGTCCTTTACCCATTTGCTCAGGCTCTCCACCCGCAAACACCCCCAACTAGCTTCCCCCCTCCCGGTAACAGTCACCACACTGTTAGTAGGCACAGACATCTTGTAGCTCATTCTGAATCTCTTATGAAGGGACTGAGACCCATGTTAAGAACTTGTAATGTATGACACTACTCTTCACCATTGCTGTTAATATTAACAAAATTAGTTTTAACAAAGACCAGTTCTGCCCATTTATTTAATAGAGTTTTATATTTACTAATTCCTTATAAGATAGGAATGGTAGACTAAAAGTTGTATCATTCTTTTCAAATACTTGTACAAAAAAAAGACAAAATTAAATACCCACATACAGACATAAACTCAAACACATCATTAAACACAAGTTGTTAATATCATATCTAAATTATAATTAAAAGCAATTTCTGAAAGTATTAAAAGGTAATAACTCAAGAACAATGTGTTTAGGAGTATAAACATGCTCTTAACTTGTATATTCAACTTATTTGAATTTCCAGAATTAATCACAATCTCACTACGTGATCTTGACAGCACGTCTCTTCCTTTTTGACAATAATGAGCAACCTGACTGACACATTCATGTCTTGAAAGAAAATGATTAATTGAGAACGGATTCGTTCATAGCTCATCACTTCACTTTCTTATGATCTAAGATACAGGAGACTGTTTGATGTGGGACATGTTTATTATATTCTTTATGGGTCAAAGGAAATTATGTATATCACTCCTTGGCTATAAATGCACTATTTTCTTAAATCAATTTTAAAATCTCATTACTTTGGCAAATACTTTATTAAGACAATAACTTCATACCAGTTATGTGCTCAATGTAAGCAGGGGCTGTATGTTTTCAGTATATTGTAATGACTGGCATTCAGACAGAGAAGGGAGAAAGAAAGAAGGGGTATAGCAGGAAGGAGGGGAGGGAGACTTTGAGAACATCTAACAAACTTAGCTCAAGGAAACCATCTGGCTATAATAAAATGTATTTATTATATAATATCAAAACACTCTTTTGAACAGGGCAAGTAAAGATATTTTTAACTTGAGAAAATATGTTAGTATCTCTATCAATTTGATAATTATCCTCTGTGATGTCCATAAATGTTTCTAAAACAATTAAAAAAATTAATAGCAATGGTAACAATGATCTTTTTCCTGAAGGGAAAAAAACCCACCTTTTTCTATTTTTTTTCTAGATAATTCAGACCATCAGTGCAGTGGATAGAGATAAATCCATAGAAGACCACTATTTTTCCTTTAATTTATCTGTGGAGGACACACAGAACTCTAGTTTTACACTCATAGATAACCAAGGTAATTCCATTCACTCATGATGGCTTTTGATCTACTCTCCTGGCATGGTGGTTGATTTAAGTGAACTTACAGCATTGCTTTCTATACTGTTACTGCAACATGATAATGTCGAGCTATAAACTGAGAAGTAGAAATGAAAATGGGAAACAAAACCCAAAGTGAACTTCTGAAAATACTACCCACATTTTCTGCTGGATTTCTTGAAATTAGAAGTAATTTTTCAAGTCATGAGTGGCTGTAAGTCCTTGTCTGAATGACTCTGTAATATAATTTCAGTTCTGACACGATGATTCCTTTCATATCATCATGAAAGTCAAGCTTCGATAGATGTCTGGGGAAGAAAGTGATGCATCCTTAACTTGTTGTAGACATGTTAGCCTGATTAATTCAAAGATAATTGGTGTCAATAATTATGCCTATAACTTTATGAAGTTGGTTCAATATTGTTCTTTTTTCCTCATCATTAGATGATTGTGTCACGTTAAGGACAAAATGTTCTAAACATTTCATATGGAGACACAGCATTTCTTTTCCTTCCATAGAAGTGATGAACTTTATAGAGAGCCACTCTGTTCTTTTTTTAATTCAGTAAAATATTTTTATCAACATACAGATTTCTGTTTTAATTTTGCTTTATATCCCCAAAATATGAATCACCATTGGTCTTATTACTCAAGCATCTGTTACCAAATACCTTCACCTGCCCTTCTGGACAACAGAGTTTAGTCTTCAATGTGGGGGACGTCTTTTGTTGGGAGAATAAATACGGTCATGTTGTCTCCCTTTTCTCCTTGTCATATTCCCCAGTGAAAGGACCTCAAATAGACCTAGGATGAAAACCTCTAATATCAACATAAGAAATAAGACATAGCTTAGATTTGTTGGTATCAATACAAAATAAAGTTCTAAGGCAAAATAAAGATATTGAAACAAAGAAAATAATTGATTGTGTTTCATGTTTGTAGTTATAAATAACCTATATATAGGAAAAATATAAATTCTCTCACCTTTTATATCTGTCTAGTAACTAGAATCAAAAGGGTTCTATAGACTCAAGAGCAAGATGGAGAATTGGTTTTAATGAGATGATGTGAGAAAAGCCACAATTAGGCATATGTTTCAAAACACTTTCATTTGTTTGCATTTCATGGTTTGCCTTGTACAATTAGTCTGTTTGCTGCAGGAAATAATTGGGGGGTTGGAGATGCCAAAACCAAGAACAAAAAAGGAGAACAATACTGAGGCATAAGAAATTAAACTAAAAATATTATTTAGGTTATTGCTGTACTATTGCCTCTACTACATATGCCTGGTAAGGATTTCTGATATGGTGTTGAAAAAATTATGTACATGAATTTTTGTTTTAGATAACACAGCTGTAATTTTGACTAATAGAACTGGTTTTAGCCTCCAAGAAGAGCCTGTTTTCTACATATCCATCTTAATTGCTGACAATGGACTCCCGTCACTTACAAGTACTAACACCCTTACCATCCATGTTTGTGACTGTGGTGACGATGGCAGTGTGAAGACCTGCAGTGACAAAGACTTCTCCACGAGATTCAGGACAGAGATTGCTATTGTTGTTGCTATTCTGATATGCATGGTGATAATATGTGGTAAGTAGTGTTGAACCACACGTCTCCTTTTATCAAAAGTAGTGTGATAATTACGGAACATACATGATTTCATTATAGCAGTATAGTGTGGCTGTGTGTGTGTGTGTGTGTGTGTGTGTGTTTAAAAGTCCTCTTCTGAATGTACAACATTACAATTCTTAAATTAAGTGGAGTAAATTTAACAAATAGTGACTCTACTCTTCAAGCTGAAAATCAACAGTAACAAATCAATGAATAGTTTTAAAGCTTTTAGAAAAAAATGCCTGTTGCCTATTTTGTAGTCAGTAAATATTAACTTGGAATATAAGTCTGCTACAGAATTTCCGTCACTGGGAACTACTGAGCTTTTCCATTATGCTTAACTTTTATTAACCTGTATCTTTGATTCTGAACGGACAAGTGCATGTGTATTGAAAAATGTTCCCGTATCCTGCTTTGTTCTATTTCCAGTATAGAAGAGAAAAACAAAATTTTAGGTTTTAAATTGATCATCATCAAAAAACATCTCATTGTAATTTTATGATATTTTTCTACTCCAAATCACCAACTAGAAAGTGTGTTGTATTCCCTATGTCATTCTGGAAGCCCCTTTTGTAAGTTTTCAACAGCAAATACATTTGAGTCTTAAAATCATAAAATCTAAGCTTATGTCTTGAGCTTATAACAGCGGCGAATATTGTAAAGTGTATCATAAATAACATGTCATGTTGTTTCATGTTATATTAATTGTATTATATTGCATTAATATTTTGATGTGCTTTCTTTGCCAGGGCTCATTCTTTTGACCCTCGGCCTAAAACAGCGAAGAAAACAGACTCTGTTTCCGGAGAAAGGTGAAGATTTCAGAGAGAATATCTTCAGATACGACGACGAAGGGGGAGGGGAAGATGACACGGAGGCCTTTGACATTGGGGAGCTGAAGAGCGGCGCGATCCTGAGGGAACGGAAGCCACGCAAGACCCCGGCCGGCGAGCTGGGCAGCCTGTACAGGCAGTCCCTGCAGGTCGGCCCCGATAACGCCATCATTCGGGAATTCATTCTGGAAAAGCTCCGAGAAGCGAACACAGACCCCTGCGCCCCTCCTTTTGACTCCCTCCAGACCTATGCGTTTGAGGGGACAGGCTCCTTAGCGGAGTCACTGAGCTCTTTAGGATCAGCGAGCTCCGATCAGGATGACAATTATGATTACCTTCACGAACTGGGACCTCGCTTTAAAAGATTAGCGTGCATGTTTGGTTCGACTATGCAGTCAGATAATTAGGGCTGGGGCGCGGGTGTTGGAAGGCTGGGCGAAAACCGTGAAGGGCTTAGGCAGAGAAAGGAATCAGACGCAGACAGCACAACGGCGATTGCCAAGAGGAAAGAGGGGGTGAGTGGAAAAAGATGGAAGAGGACAAAAGGGGATACACGGTGACAGAAGAGAGAGACTTTGGGTGGTGAGCGCACCATGCAGTGTGCAGATGATATATTATAGAGCTGTATGCTCGAAACCTGTACAGTTTTATTAATCAAAGTCACCCCAATAAATTCAATTAAAATAAAAACGTTAAAAATGCTGGTATGTTTGCGGGCAAACTGGTAGTCTCTTGGTAAAGAGTTGTATGCTCCAGTTCTTGGGGGGGGAACCTGATCTATAGTGTTTTCTGATTTCCCTAGAGGAAATGCCCATGGTTATTTCAAGCCAGCCACGTGCTGTCCGGGCACCTCTGGCCCACCGCTGACTTACTCTCCTAACACTGTTTTCAGTACCACCCAGTACAAGTTATCAACGCTTCCGAATGTTTAAGGTGGGAAAGGCACTGAGCCTAGAGTATTTTAATAGTATTTCATTTATGCATTTATTAAATCTTACCAAATAAGAGTAAAGTGTATAAGTGGGTTAAATTCCTGATGCTATACAGAGATAAAAAAAAAACCTAGGAGAGCCTGGATAATCACATAAAACTTGAAAAAAACCCTATTTGTTTACATAAATAACAAGTCACTACTAGGAGTCTATGATTTATTCTAATTTTACACTTTTAAATCTTTGCCAGAGCCACATTTTAAAACTGATTTTAAATTTAGACTGCTAATTAATATATGTGAATTAAACAGATATAGTATAAATTTATATTAATTTTGATAGTATAGCTTTGTATAAAGAAGGGGAATGCATATGTTTAGGAGTTTTTCTCAAATTGTGTTCATATGTAACCAATACATCTTTATCATGTCATAATGCAATGACAAAATATTTATTCATTGTTACGTTACACATCACGAAAAGGGTGGGGAATGTGAAACATTTGAAGTGAAATCTTACCTACTAGGATGATAGAGGTCAATGGAGGAGGAATGTACTCACACTTGAATTAACATTCCTTCTAAGTATTATGATCAACTGCACTGAAGCCTGCCACACACAGGAAAAAAAAACATGGTAAAATTCTCAGCTTTTCCTTTTCTCTTATGATTTAAACTATAACTTTTGCTTCACAGTCTTTTTTATTATGGAATAATAATTAGGTGCAGTAGTAACTTTTATTGTAACTCTGTGAAGGATTAATGCTAAACTGCTGGACATAAAGCTTTACGGTAATATTAGATAATAAGGCGAGACACTTTAATTTTTATCAACTTTTTAAGAATGGCCCTTATTAGTCTACACCAATCCAGGTGGAATTGAAAACCCGTAGTTTTATACAGAAAGAAAGTAGTGAGTGCAATTGTCAGGTAGCAGCTAGCAATGAGCGGCCGGAGGGGAAGTAAAGCAGGCCCCACCCAGTGCAAGCTAATGAAGAACTGAACGCAGGAGGCTGGGAACGGAGACACGCCTCTCACCTGCTGACCCAGCAGTCCTGAGCCCCTGGGCTAACGGAGACTGCCAGGCATTCCGAACACTCAGCACGAGGGGAGCCCTTGAAGTCCTGTGTGTACCGTCTCCACCAGCTGGGAAAGCAAGCCTTGGAGGCTGTGTATTAATCCCAAGGTCTGGAGGAGGGAGGAGGAAGGGGGACCTAGAAACCAACTAAGGTATATAAGCCCTGAACCCCAATAGCCGGGCTCAAGTGTATAGAACAAACTTACTAACGACTTTATTTCTGTGTACATGGGGCATTCCGAATAATTGGGTGCCCACCTGTAGTTTCATGCTCAAGTGTATTTTATAAATAAACTTGTTAACTCATTTCCACTATGCGAGCTGTCTCTCCCCTGAATTCTCTTGTGAGCAAGGCAAGACCCAAGGAGGGGTAGCCCCCTGACTCCAGCCTCACAGGCAACACAGTAACCTAAAAATGGATTTTTCTTTTCATTTTATATGAATAATATGTGAAACTTGAACTCCACCAAGTTGGGCATATATGGTTAAATAAAATATTTTTGAATAATTTTGAGCTAAAGATACAGTCATTGAATGGCTATGATAGTTTTTTCCCTGTACTTTGAAATGTCCATATCCACACCACGCAGTAAAAGTTTTTTCATTAGCATCAGTCAGGTACCACTATGTGGGTGACACAGATGTCATCACTTCACAAAAGCCTGAGGAAATCAGACTCGAAATACCACAATTTAGGATGACATTAAAAGTAGACGAAAGTAAGAAGATATCATTATGTACTTAGGGAAGATTAAGAATATTTAAAATAATTTTAAAAGAGTGAAAACTTGCAAACAAACTAGAAATTTTTGTGTTCAGATGACATTTATATTTCTACTATATTAACATAAAAGTGGAAAGAGTATAGTTAGGAAATTTTTTTATAAATTAGTTCTGGAGGGATTTTCCCCTATATTTGAAAGATAATGCAATATAATTATGATTGAAAAACTGGAAATTATGATAAACAACAGATGACGCAATCCATGGAAAAATACATGAGAAAAAAAGAAGAAGGAGTTCTGGGGATGCCCACGACTTTGTCATAGATGAAAGCCTTATAAACCACTTTTCAATCTGGATGAGCACCTTCTAAAAAGGCACACTGATCTAATGTATGTACCAACTGGGTTTTATGTTTGTGTCCACTGGCCTTAAGTAGATGTGTTAAATTCTGGTTTAGTTAATGATAGGATTGTCACCCATAGGATACACAGAAAAGCACACCTGGTTGCGTAAACTGTTTTCTGGTCTAAAAAGAGTTTTTTTGAGTTGCATCAAAAATGCTATCTGAGTCTATTAAAGAAGCTGTAATATCCTATAAATTGTACTTAGCAGTATTTGAATACCTATTTTAACTTTTTCCTAGTCATGGTTGTTGCAAGAAGACAGTTAGCTGTATCCTAAGGTAAGGACATAGCATTACTGCTGTGGCTAGTGTGGCTCAGTGGATTGAGTGCCAGCCTGCAAACCAAAGGGTTGTAGGTTTGATTCCCAGTCAGGGCACATGTAGGGGCGCTCGAGAGGCAACCACACATTGATTTTTCTCTCCATCTCTTTCTCCCTCCCTTCCCGTTTCCCTAAAAATAAAAATAAATTAAAATCTTTTTGAAAAAAAGACATGGCATTAGGATCTCATTCTATTCCATTTTAATAGAGGCTCCTTCAGTGCAGATATTTATGAAAACAGCACAGTTTCAGATTAATGCCCCAAGGGCTTCGATACTTGCCTTCATTAACTCACAGCATTACACATACATCTTAAATTACTGATGGTTGAAATGGGAAAATATTCAGTCCTTTATAAGAATCAAAAAGTTCGCAATAATAGATGTTCACTCAGTATATGAGCTCCAGCCTCACAGAGTGAGTTTGCATTAGTCCACTTTTATCTGAATATCTGGGTACACTTTGTGAAACTGCCTAACCGCTCAGGACCGGAGTCTGTAATCTGTGAAACGAGGCCCAGCACTCTGGGCCTCGTTCAGCACCCCGAGACACAGCACCCCGTTCACGTGAGTGCTGTGAAGAGTCGGTCAGACAGCGCACAGGCACTCCGCGACAAACGTGCGGGCTCCGTGCACACCAGCCTGGTGACCACGCTGAAGGTGTGTTGTCTGCGCGCGCGCAGCCCTTCTCCTCTCCCACTCATAGATCCCAGCAGCTTCACAGCACCTTTGAAATACAGATCGGCGTCCTGACCCGACACGTACGGTCATGCATCATCCTGCCTCAGCTTGTGTCCGAAGTCTCTTAACGCTCCCACGCTCGTCCTGGAGGCCTGGAACATCCTCCTGCAAACACTCCCCCTATTCCACCCCTCACCCCATTCAGGCGGGTGATCACCGTGCCCCGGCGGCTCTTGCTCTGCTTTGCCTTCCATCCTAGCACTTAGCTACCGGGTATTATTACACTATAAATATTTCACTTTTTACTGTCTTTAGCCATTATTACAATGTGAACCTTAAGTGGGCAAGGGATTGTCTGACTTATTTGTTTTTGTCTTAAATTGTTTCTAGCACATAGCAAGTACATGCATTAATGAATCCCAAGTGACATTTATGTACTGGCTTTTGTTGAATATTAGTATGAAATTAATGTATTTTTAAAAAAATACATTGGCATTGGGTAGTGCTTGGGTAAAGATTTTTTAAAATCTTTCTGGGAATTACATGGGTTTGGCATGTTAACTTGTTTGGAGTTATTTATATTCCACTTGGAATTTTAAAAGGCAATCATATTACATTGTTCAGCGAAACAGTTCCTTTGATGATCTCACAGGGGTGAGTCCCCAGGCAGGGTGCCGCGCAGGGAAGTGAGCACGGTAGTCGGCTTCTCATTTCAGAGTGCGACTTGGTAACAAATGCGCTGGCAAGCTAACAGGGTCACACGAAACCTCCTAGGTAGGCTTCATGTTCTTCTGTGCGACATACAAAGGGCATTAAATATCAGCTATACTAAAAGCTGCGAGACGAATGTGAGAGAGAACTGGAGGAGAGGAATATGCAACATTTTACTTTTCCATTTATGTCTGTCCACCTATCATCACATATCCATCCATCCATCCATCCATCTGTCCATCCATCTATCATTTATCTACTCTGAAGGGTTTTCTGGAAGACTAGCCTCTCAACCACAAAGCAGATTTCAGGACCTGCTGGAATTGGTTGCGTCCCACTGTTCTTAGATCTCTGAGGCTGGCAGGCGGGCTGACTGGCCTGAGCCGTCGGGAAGACAGCAAGGGCTGCAGATGCGCGGTGTGTGATTCCTTAGCCTGTGACAGGCAAAGCTGCGTGAGCTTCCCATAGGTTATAAGGGATGGCCACTGTAGAAATTTTGCACAAAAGATAGGAGCTGAGCGGGAGCTTAAATCAGTCATCTAAAGAAGCTGTCACACAGGCTGAGAGACAATAGGAACCTCAGAGGCTTAAACTGTCTCCCAATACCCCATGTGAGTGGACCAGGATAAAGTGCCCACAGTTGGATAGCGGGAGGCTTAACCTCACACAGGACTCTGGCTGCGGAATGGTGATAGCACCAGCCAGGTTTATCTGCCTGTTACCTCTCTCCCCATCCCTACCAGGCGGCAGAGTTCCCAAAGCAGCCGAGGAAGTGGGAGTGGGCGAGCGATGGCACTTTATATCGGAGGTGAGTTAACAGGCTTCCGGTGGAGAAGGGGCTATGAGGGGACGAAACGGTGATGGGAAAAAATACAATAAAAAAAGTAAAATAAAAAAAAGTCTTCTGGTACTTGGAGAAGGGAATTAAAAAAAAATTGGTGATGCCCAACAGCTGTGCAAACTGTCTGAAATTTGGCCAATGAGGGCATCAGAAAATTCAATGCAAATATGTGTAAAAACGGAATCAAATAAAACATTTTC